AGATTTGATCATGCGCGATAAAATCGTTTACCAGCAAATTACATTCGGCAGGGGATAACAAAATTATTCTTTAATATTAATATATTATAAATGATATGACAATATGTTATGTTAAAACGATATTACGGAATAATAATAATTTATTGCTAAAATACATGCTTACAAAATTTACCTTAAAAAAAAAAACAAGAAAATTGAAATACCGAAATACGAAAATAGTGAATTTTCTATTATAACATCTACCAGAGAGAAAGATAAAGACGTAAATTTATCTATTAAAATAATATTTTATTATAATTATTAGCTATAAAAGATAATTACGAAAAATAAATTTGATATATGCAGTAAATTTCCTCGATTTAACTCACAATACTCAACTATCTAAACATCTTTATTAATGACATTTGCTCCTATCAATTTCTCAAATGTTACTATTGATGAAAATTTTGTTTCAATTTTGACACAAATAGTATTGTATATTGTTACATATTTTTACCATGCTATAAAAGAAAAATTCATTTTCCAACTGTTAACGGGAAAAATTTCCAATCACGTAAATCACGAATAACTAAAGTGTGAAATAAATGAATCATGTGAGACGTGATGAATTGTGCCTACGGTTCAGTCTTCCATCCCCCTCCCTTCTCTCCCTCTCTCTCTCATTCTCTCTCTTTTTTTCTCTTTCTCTAGAGTGATATAAACCCTTGCGAATCAGATTTGTCAATCGCGATCGATCGTGATCAGCGTCATGAGTTTGTCAACGCGCGTTTGTCGAGTTCGCTGTTAAAATGACTCCAAGAAAGACGCTTAAGCTAATTACTGACATATCGTTGCGTACTCCGGTTTCGCAATAAAATTCATTTTAAAATTTTCTTGTCGCAAAGTTTCGGGACATGTTGTCGGCGCGCATTTATGATTCGATGTATAAATATACGCACTAGCTTCCATCGATGCATGTATAATTTATTTCACACTATGGAAAATGTAAACTATAGATCAAAATAGATTTTATCTTTGTAAAGATACTTTACTTTGATAAAATGGATATGATAGATAGCTAATAGGAGCAGATTTATTTTGTTGCTCTCTTTAAAAAATAATTCACTTCTGTATAATTATAAATGTTCATCATAAAATATTTATGTAATTATATTTCACATTTTGTATTTATGCGCACGCAATGCTTCATGATAAATAGAAAGATAATTTATACATTATAATACAATAAAACATGCTATTTTAATAAGCTATGTACTATTTAAATAGATTTCGACCATCAAGATACGTATTTCATAATCGAACGCACATGAAAACGGAATAATAAAATTATTGAATATGTTTTATTGAAACAATTAATTCCAATATATATAATATATGAAGTATCTAACATAAATACAGCGTAAATGTATGATCAATAAAATTTAGCGCAAACCAACAAGTTGAGTGAATAGTCACCCAATATTAAGGAATTACATTTTACTGCAACAGCGTGTTTGACATTTTAAATGCATATTCTTGATATATTTTATTTAGTGACCAACGATTGAATATTTACTAAAGCGTTATTAATGTTTTAAGCGAGTGCTATTTAAACGAATTGTTTGCACACGATCAATTGATCGTGACTGTGAAAGCGTTTAATTCCACGTAATCAAATAAATCACAAAAAAATTCATTTTACTTCAATGAGAGTTTGCTGTCCATCAGAGAAAACCACATGAAAGCTGACTATTAAAAACATTATTTATTTCATTTATTGAACCTGTCATATCTCTAAAACTCTTTTATTTATTAAACTAACTTCATTAAAGTTTACTCTGAAGATAAAGTTTTTTATTTATGTATTAAATAATTTTTAATTGATCAGTTCTATATATCTAATTTTATTTTCTTTCCAGAATATTAAAAATAATTATATAAAATAGACATATTTAAAAGGTACAATTTAATTAATTCGTAATTAAAATAAAGTTTCTTAATATTGTTTAATTAATTTGGGTTTAGAAAAATATCGAGATGGATTATCTATATTATAAGATATAATAAACTAATAAACATTGTAAACTATTTTTTATTTGAACAAAAATAAAGTATGATTATTTAACTTAAAAATATTAGCTAGTAATTTAAAAATTGTTTGATTGCAGCAACTAAAACTGATGGGTAAATCGCTTTCAAGTACATAGCTTTATCGAAAAAGTTGTACCTACGTTCCGTTAACCACATTAATTCAACAGCGGTTCGTTAATTTCCCAATTGCATTCCAATCGGGTATGAGTTGATCACGCTACGTTTTGACGCGGGAACCAGAATTGACTGTCAAAAGACGACAGGTCTTGAGATTAAACGATGACAGATCCGCAGTTTGTCACTCGAAAGTGTAAGCAATCGAGGTCACAAAGTATATGCTTTAAAATCTCAAGAAACGTTCTTCTGTAAAAGGCATTAAAGAAAATTTATCCAGATATAATATATACATCAATATAATCGGGATGCAAGAAGCAATTAAAAGATTTGCACAATTATATATCGAAAAGTGTAAAAATAAGAAGAAATGTATAGTATAATTTATTTAATGATTATTCCTACTTTTTATCATTATTTTATAATAGCACTATTTTATCACTATTTTATATTTTAATAACATGTAGAAAGTTTTATATATACACTAAATTAATAATGTGTAATTGCATTCATAATTTTATCAATTATTTATCAATGCTAATAATCTTTCATCAAATGTAATAAGTGACCCATCAGACAATTATACTCTTTCTTTCATGTACAAGGAAATTTACAACTCTCGAATACACTTGTGAATAGTGAAAGCGATGCAACGGGCAATTTAAGAAACGAACGGTCAGTCCCGTCGGGGTTAATTGATTCGCTGCCTTTGGACAAACGCGTGATCATGTGCAATGCTTCGCGTTGCGACATGCACTCTTCTCTCGAATTATCTTCCACCTCGCGTGACGTTTGCCCACGTTTTGTTATGTGAACTTTTTAGGGTCCCGATTCGCCGGCAGGGAACATCGAAACTGACGAATCGGCGAAGTGCAATTTACTGTAAAAAGTCGCATATACATGGCCGCGCGATCATGACCGTATAATAATTCATACAATCGTGTCATACAAAATTCATACCGCTAAACTAGAGGCGAGTAAATCTCGCCAAATAATTATCGATTAATCGACATAACAGGATACACGCTTGCTTCTTTTGTGCAACACAACTATAATATACAATATGATTTTCGTGGATCTTTCGATCATCTTTCTTGTAATGCGTGGCCTTGACGTATAAGTTACGCAACACACTTCAGAGAAACTACTTCGTGACCAGTCTCGTTTTGTTCAACGACCCGATGGTTTTAACGTCTTATTAAAATAGATCGCTATTAATATAATGAGTCGGAGAACACATGACCGACGTGTACGCTTCCGAGAACTGATGAGAATCGATCTTACAGTGGATATTGTATCCGCGCTGATGTCGATGGTTCTTTTGAAACTCAATGCTCACACATGTGTAATATTGTCACACGTCACACCGCCGAAAGCGGGACATAATTTTTTCGAGAACGTTTATGAATCTCTGTGACTGACACTAAACTTCGGAGTACTTCGCTTGTTACGACTTTTCCTTACGTTAAAAAAAAGCGATTATGTGTCGGAAATTAGTCAATGTCTACACTTATTATAGCTAAGAAATATACATGTCAAATTTATAAAAGTTATTGTCTGCAATATTTTTTCTAGGATGAAACGAAAGATTTTAGTAGTTTGATTTATTGTTCAAAATATTGTAATCCAAAATATTGTAAAATATAAAAGAAGAATAATTATGTTGGTAAAAGTGACCGACTTCATTTTTTGCAAAATTAATATCTCGCATGCATAAATGATATCGCAACGAAAAAAAGTTCGCATTCTCGGATAAAAGCGCAAAGAAAATATCGACAAAAAAAAAGTTAGATACACCACAGGAGATTACTGAGGTTTATTGCGATCCCGCGGAGCTTACTAGTTTTATCCATTATCCATATAGTGCCACAGGCACCTACCCTCAAATTCATGCTCATATCGATAAATGACGACAGATAAACACAATCGTATGTATTTGGTCTTTATTTTCATGTTTATAATACTATAAATTCTATTATATCATGTTTGTGTTACGAAACAATGATCTGAGTATAATATCGTTTAACAGTTCAAACAGTTTCATGTATGTTTCTGATTTTAGAAGCTAAATTTCTCGACTATACGAATATTTTTTATGCGTCCATATAATTTTTAATTTTCTTATTTTTTAAGATATTATATTTTACTTAATTATATTGCACACTTTTTTGATACAATAATTTTAAGAAATATATAGCCTATTCTATTCTTTATGAATAAATTGCTAATTATTCAGCAAGAAATGATCATCAATTAGATGTCGAATTGATATTGAACTGATATCGTTATTATCATTTCAATATCGACGTGACATCAATGAGGATATCAAAAGCAAAGCAAACTTTCATTTTTTCCAATATAATTTTTGAATTAAACAAAAAAGATAGAGACAACTAATGTTTAGAATCAAAGTTTAAATATAAGCTGAGAGCTACAAAGTGACACAACAGTAAAATTCTTTTTATTTTTTTAATTAAAAAAAACTTTTTTATCATTTTATAATCCCCATTTAACTTATCATTACACTTTAATTTTAAACATTTGTCTTTATTAGTTTAAAAGTTATATGCGAAAAGATTGCATCTTTTTTGCTTTTAAGTTCAAAAATCATATCTTTAAGTAGCGACTAACGCATACTATATTATTCATTAAATATTAAATTATTCTACATATCTACAAAAGTTCACTCAAATCGAAGATTTCGGGTTCACAATGTTTCCTTGTATATAAAAACTGGTGTGATACATTAACAATATTTTTCACGTGAAGGCTTCATACAGCTGGGCACGCTATTAACAAATATACAAATGGGAAGGATGTATCTGTTTTTGATGGTGATCCATGTTTTGCTCATTAATAAAGGAGTGGATACCGAAACATTTACTTTGGGATACATCACCGGATCAAAACGACGTGATAATGATCTTGAATATCAACGTCCCGGCCTTCGAATATCCGGCGCTATCACTCTCGCCGTGGAGGAGGTGAATAATCGCTTTTACCGTTTCGACGTTCTCTCACTCTCCTTGATGTCTTAAATACGAACAATTGCGATTAGAGTTGCGGAAATGGATAATTAAATTTAGCAATTTAATTCAATCACACGGAAATGATTATCTAATTAAATCTCAATCACGGGAAATTAGGATAACTTACAATTATCATATGACACTTCTGGTTTATTCTTGAAGCTTACATCATTATCATCAATTGATTGAAATAGCTTCAAAAGAGCTCTTTGAAATTAGGGAAGAAATTCGAGAAATAATTCAAAAAGATTTTTCGAGAAATAATTCAAGATGATTTGCTTCCAGTTATGACAGAACTAACATATTACTGCAGAATATTATATTTTTACACAAGCATTGAATAAAGTTAACTATTTTCTCCTTTCAATCTCTCTATTTTAAACATTTTTCTTGAAAATAGTATTGCTTAAAATGCAGGTAAATGCTGGAGAACTTAATAGGCGCGGACATAAGTTGGATTTTCTCGTTGCCGAAACTTATGGTAATGAAGAAATGAGCATTTTGATGACGGCGGATTTGTGGAAAAAAAACGTTTCCGCATATGTCGGCCCTCAAGAAACTTGCATCCATGAAGCCAGAATGGCAGCTGCATTCAACATTTTAATGATATCATATGTATAATCAAATCTTATATTACTAATTTTAATACTTCGCTTGATAGCATGTATATAATTGGATAAAACTTAGATGTATGAAAGCTTTCACTGACACGTATCATATTTTTTAGTTTTGCACACATAACGAAACGTCGAATAAAAAAGAATTTCCAACGTTTGCGAGAACAAGACCACCAGATACTCAAATTGCAAAATCCGTGGTTTCAGTACTGAAGGCTTTCAATTGGACCAAAGTGGGTGATACTTCGTAGTTTGATACTTCGTAGTTTGATAAGCGTTTGATAAACGTTTGATATGTTTTTAATAATATTAATGTAAAATTATATTAAAAATCGCTTTATCTCTATATATATGACATATATATATTTTTGTAAACAATTTTTTTTGTAAACATTTATTTATCACAGGTAACATTTTTATATATGAATTCAACAATGTTTGAGTTCAATAAGATGTCTACGGTTGCGACTACAATTCTAATGTCTTTCGAAGCAGCTGGAATTACTGTAAATTATCGTCGTTCGTGGAACGAACCTTATCATGTAACCCACATGAAAAATCCTTTCCACGAACTCGTTAGACAAACGTATCGAGGTACGCGAAGTAAGTAAAGAATAAGAATGTTTATTTCCAAACAAATTTCTATATTACTATCACATTTATCAAAATAAAATTGTAATTTTACTAACTTGTAATACATTTTCATCACCGACAATTCTTTTTGAAGAAATATAGGCCAGACTTTTAATGATCTTTTGCGCGCTTTTCGTTTTTTGTTTAAAAGTTCAATTCTACGAAAAACGTGTATCTTTTACCAATCAAATTGCGCGATTCAAAATAGACTACCCGCATTTCGATACCTTGATTTATGTCGCAATACGAAACTTGCATGTAACACAACCCGCATACCAGGGACTCGGACCGAAAGAATTTTTCGATTCGGTTCCGGTTTAATAAAATATCAAATAAATGTTCTGGTTTCAGTTTCGGTTTTTTTTTACCAGTGAAAAAAAAACGTTAAAATTATGGTTTTTAACGGTCGTTTTTTAATTCTATTTATTTGCTTTATTTTATTTATTCTTTAAATTTGTTTTATTAGGAAAAAGGAGCGGGAAGGAAGAGAGAGAGAGAGAGAGAGAGAGAG